TCTCAGACCACTTGCGTGGGAGCACATCCCCTTGGGATGACCTGAGCATCCCTTAGCAACCACCTCACAACTCCCTTGGCTATCCTACCCCATCCCTGATGGAAAGAACTTGGCATTCAGGCTCCAACCTCACAGCTGGGTTCAACCAGAGGTGCTTAAACTTGTCCTTCCTCTTCCAGCTGGCCTTGCTGAACTTCTTCCACCCCGAGGACAAGCTGCACGTGGGTGAGGAAGGCAGACGAGTGCGGCGGAACAAGAGGAGTAAAGGCAGCGAAGGACCTGATGGTGAGTCCTGCCCAGCTCCTCTCACAGCTTGGTTACCTTCCAGATGAGCAATTCCAGGAGTTCTGATTTCTCCAGCTGTAGGTCTAGTGGTTTGGTGTGAATTATTGTTGCTTAGGAGTCTCATCCTTGACTCACTGGAGGGAAGGGGTGGGACAGCCAGAGGGACCTGGACAAGCTGCAGAGGTGCAGCAATGCAAACCTCATGGAGTGCAACAAGGTGAAGTGCAAGGTCCTACATGTGGGAGAGAGCATTGTACTAGAGCATTGTGATTCCTTTTTAGTTCTTCTAAGAACAACTCCCAAATCCTCAGGTAGAGCAAACTGAGGGGGAGAACTGTAACATCTTCACCTCACCAAACCCACTCTGAACTGCTGAGCACCTAACAACTACCAAATTAACTAAAGCTAGCTTCACCTTTAGCCCCTTCCCTCAGGATTCCCCTTGCATCCTGCCTGAGTATGAGGAATTGCATTGCCAGCCCTGTCTTTTCATGGTTGTCACGGCACTAGGACATGAGCTTTGCCTCCTGGAAGAGCTTCCACGTTTCCCTACTGCAGTAGAGCACAGATTCCCTTTTATATGGAGAGGAGAGGGGTCTGGACAACAGGGAAAGCAGGGGAAGAAGTGATGGATGGGCTGGATACCTCCTAAGCCCAAGTCCTGACTGCCTTGTGAACCTCTTGGTACTGTGGAGCTCCATGAGTTTCCCATCTTCCCTGAAACCTTTGCACTTCCACACTAGAAAAGCCTTTCCCTGTGGCTCTGCTTCAGGAAGAAGCTTGGTGAAGCTCCCTGGATTCCTCCCCTCTGGAATGCTGCCAAGTGTGATGTGTTTGGTGCAGACTCCCTGAGGGATTCCAGCCCGGCATGGTTCATCACCCTCTGAGCTGGAGTTGCTCTGGAGCTCATGTGGCTCCAGCAGGATCTGAGGCCTTTTCCACTGACTCCCTGAAATCTGTCCCAGTGTCTTCACCCGTTGCTTGTGTCAGTAGGGAGTTCCCACTGGATGTGAGTGCTGTTGGTGGAATGGTGCCAGCAGATGTTGGGAGGATTAGCCTCATCCCTCAAGCTGCCTCTGCTCTGCCAGATGTGCTCACAGCTGCTGCAGGGGAGGAGGAGATGCCGAAAGTCAGGGACTAATGAGGACTTCGCTCCTCATCCTTGTGTCTGGGTGGGAATGTGTGTCCTTCCCAAGATTTCCTTTAAGTTCTCTGGATGCTCAGAGTTGTGTCTCTTCAGAAATGTAGAGCATTTCCATTATCCAGTCTAGAGACAGAAATGGAGCTGGGGAAAGGGTTGGAGCACCAGGAGAGGCTGAGGGAGCTGTGGGGGCTCAGCCTGGAGAAAAAGAGGCTCAGGGAAGACCTTCAGCTCTCTCAAACTCCTGCCAGGAGGTGCAGCCAGGTGGGGTCAGGCTCTGCTCTCAGAGAACAAGGGACAGGACAAGAGGAAATGGCCTCAAGTTGCACCAGGGGAGGTTCATGTTGGATATCCAGAAGAATTCCTTCATGGAAAGGGCTGTTAGGCATTGGAACTGCCCAGGGAGGTGTTGGAGTCACCACCCCTGGAGGTGTCCAAGGAATGACTGGACATGGCACTCAGTACTCTGGGCTAGCAGACAAGGTGGGAACGGGTCACAGGATGTTTTCCTGCCCTTTGGAGTTGGGTTTGTGTTGGGTTGTTTGCCATTTCCTAAGTTGGTGAGGAACATCAAGGGTTGTTCTCCAGGCTTTGGTTGGAGCATGGCAGCTGGAAGAGGCTGAGCAGATCAGTGGCCTTAAGCTGACAACTCTTCGGATCCTACTACTTTGGCAGTTCTTGCTGCTGAGAGAAGCCCTGGAGGGAGAACTCCTTAGGCTTCAGCTGCAAAGGGCTGACATGGGAATGGTGTTCTAGGGAAGCAGGAGCTCCTGCCAGGGCCTGTGTCTGCCTGGAGATTTGGGAGGGAGGGATGTGGAGCCACAGCTTCTCTTGCTTGGGATTCCTTTGGTTGAGTTGGGGTGGCTTTAGGGCGGATTTAGGTGATGTTAGGATGATTATTGGTGGTCTTAGGATGTTTTAAGGTGATTTTAGGATGAGTTTAAGGTGCTTTTAGGGCAGGTTTAGGTGGTTTTAGGGTGGTCCTAAGATGGTTTTGTAGGTAGCTGATACCAGCCTGGCTTTTAGAGTGGTTTTAAGTTGGGTTTAGGGTGATTTTAGGCTAGTTTTAGGTTGGGTTTGGATGGTTCTAGGCTGGTTTGGCAGGTAGCTGATGCCAGCCTGGCCTTTAGGCTGGTTTCAGGGTGATCTTTGCATGATTTTAGGGTGGGTTTAGTGCAGGTTTTGGCTGCTTTTAGGATGGCTCAGCAGGTAGCTGCTGCCAGAGCCTGGTTGGGGGTTCCTGACTCGCCCCAGGCAGCCCCAGTCCCACAGCTCCACATCCCATCCATCCCTTTCCCTCCCTGTCAGCTCTGGTGATGCACCAGGACTTTTTTCCCTCTTCTCTTTGAACCTCCAGCTCACAATAGGCACTTTTCCTGCTTCCTCTCCCATGGAAAGGGCAGGTTCTCCCTCTGCCTCCAGAACAATCAGTGCCTTTGTGCAATTCCCCAAAGCCTCAGCATTCCCAGAAACACAGATGGATGAGGGAGGGAGATAGAACCTCATTGTGCATGAAACCATGGAGATGGGAAGCAGCAAACACAGCTTTTCCTGGATCCAGGAGTGAGGGAGACACTCCCACAAGGAAAAGCTAAGCGCAAAGTCCTTGTGCTCACTGTTTTCCCTCTAAATTCCTCTGGGATTTCCCCCTGGATGGGAAAAGAGAAGAATTCTGGTGATGTTTGTAGCTCTGGGGATAATGTTGACACCTTACCTAGGATGTTGCTGTTGGGATTTGTTGTTGCTATGAGAAAAGTGAGGCTGCAGCTTGTTTGTATATCCTTATGGATGTGTTGTTCCCAGGTTTGTGGGATCAGGGAAGGGATCTGAGTGTGGTCTTGTGCCTTAAAACGCTTAGAATCATAGAATCGTCTAAGGATCCCATAGGATCCCAGGCTGAACTGGGTTGGAAGGACCTTAAAGCTCATCCAGTCCCACCCAGGGACACCTCCCACCATCCCAGGTTGCTCCAAGCCCCATCCAGCCTGTTCTAGAACACTCCCAGGGATGGAGCAGTCACACCTGCTCTGGGCAACCTGTGCCAGTGCCCCACCACCCTCACAGCCAAGAATTCCTTCCCAATATCCCATCTCTCCCTGCCCTCTGGCAGTGGGAAACCATTCCCTGTATCCTGTCCCCCCAGGGCCTTGTCCCAAGTCCCTCTGCAGCTCCCTTGGAGCCCCTTGAGTCTCTCAGGGAACAAGAAATAGGACAAGAGGAAACAGCCTCAAGCTGTGCCAGGGGAGGTTCAGGTTGGATACTGGGAACAATTCCTCCTGGAAAGGGCTGTCCTGCCCTGGCACAGCTGCCCAAAGCCGGGATGATTCCCTGAGTGCACTTGTGCTTGGATTCAAAGTGTTCTGGTGGCTCCTCAGGCAGAGCTGACACTCTGTGCTCCCACAGGCTGTGCTGGAACTTGACCTGAGCTCCTCAGCTCCTTTCCCAGCTGCAAGTTAAGCAGACACAACGTGATGAGAAGCGACTGGTGATTCCGTCTGAATTCCACTCCCCAACCCAGAGCTTTTCACTCTGCCTCGGGTCAAACACTCAACTCCAGCAACCTCAGAGACTTTCTGCTGTTCCAAAACAGAGCCAGGGCTCATGAGAGGAGAACAGATGTTGCAAAGGGGCAGGAATGTGGCTGCAGCTGAGCTGTGTATGCAGCTGAGCTGGGCATGCCACGCACTGAGCTCCTCTGGTAGCTGCTGATCCCTTTCCCACAGCATGAGAGGCTCCTTTGTCTCCTTGTTGGAGTGTTTGCAGCTGAGCTTGGAGCTCTCGAATCGTCATCCAGGGAGGATTCTGCAGGCACACACGAGTTGCTTAGCACAGGCTTCAAACCCAGCTGGTCACAGCTCTTAGGCTGAGGAGCTGGTGCTGAGGTGGATCACGTCGGGCACGTGTGGCAACCTCTGCTCAGGTCCTGCTGCTGCAGGTTAGGTGTGAGGAGAAATATTTTCCCTGTTAGCTTGGAGCTCTCGAATCGTCATCCAGGGAGGATTCTGCAGGCACACACGAGTTGCTTAGCACAGGCTTCAAACCCAGCTGGTCACAGCTCTTAGGCTGAGGAGCTGGTGCTGAGGTGGATCACGTCGGGCACGTGTGGCAACCTCTGCTCAGGTCCTGCTGCTGCAGGTTAGGTGTGAGGAGAAATATTTTCCCTGTTGTGGTGTTGTGTTGAGGCGATTCCAAAAGGTACATCACATCCTCCTCCCACAGCTAGGGAGAGGGTGGAGGAGGAATTGGGATGGTCACAGGTTCTGGTGTGAGCCCCAGGAACTTGGCTGGGATTCATTTTGTGGGAGCAGAGTTGATCAGGGTGGAGATTTATGCTTGGTTGGGGTTGGAGGAGACAGTGCAATGTTCTCTGCCAGCAGCAGTGGCTCTGCAGTTAATTGGGAGCAGGAGTTTGTCTTTGCTCAGGAACACATTTGCACTGTGCTGTGCTGCACCTCCTCAGCAGAGACTGGAGATGGTTTTAGAGCCTTCATGGTACCAGCAGCATGTCCTGGTGCCTTGACACCCACCCCAAAGTGGATCTGGATGGGATTGAGGAGGTAAATCAACTTGGTTGAGCTTTGTGTACTATAAAGTCATGGCAAATCCCACTGCAGTAAGGACACCTCCCTGGCTGTTGGAGAAGCAGAGTTGAGGGTGTGGCATAACACAGAGTGGAGTAGACCCCAGGAGACAACTGGATCCACTCCTCACCCCCTAAATGGGACCAGTACCATGACAGAGGTGACAGCAGCAGAGATGACAACTTCTAAAGGGCATTTGCTCTTCCAGCCTGGTCCTACAACCCTGTACCTCTGTTGTTCCTCGTGCCAAAAGCCCTTGGGAGATGCTCAGAGCTGGT